CATATATAAAAACAATATATATGGGTGTGTGTCAGTGTGTGTGTGTTGTAAGAACAAAAGAACAAAAGATGTCACAACATGAAATTAAAACTAGGTCTCAATCCAGAGATTTCGCACAGGATTAGCTCTTTATTCCTTTTGTACTGCTTTTCCTTTACCATAGTACTTTTTTTTTATTTTTTCCTTTCTCGCATTGTACTCTTAATTTATATCAATAAAATCTCCTTTTCTCAAAAGAAAAAAAATATGTGTGCGTGTGTTGTAAATATTTATAGTGGAGTTGCTACTCTGCTATGGCAGACTATATGCATGTGTTGGGCCGCGGGTATGCGGTGCCAGCAATTGTCCAGCCTGCCGGTGCAATCGGACCGCGTGGCGCTTCGCATGTGCTATAAAGGGGGAGGAGCGTGCTACACTATCAGCGATTGCTTTTAGTGTAGCGGTAAGCGCAACGATCCACAAGTGGTATCAGAGCCAAGGTCACGGGTTCGACCCCCGGCAATAGCATGTTGCGCAGTTGTAGGCTGGCAAGTGCTGGGGGGGGGATTGTTGGGCCGCGGGTATGCGGTGCCAGCAATTGTCCAGCCTGCCGGTGCAATCGGACCGCGTGGCGCTTCGCATGTGCTATAAAGGGGGAGGAGCGTGCTACACTATCAGCGATTGCTTTTAGTGTAGCGGTAAGCGCAACGATCCACAACATGTATTATTTGAAATTCCAGTTGTCAGGTTAACCGATCATAACTTATTTTCAAAATGGTAATCGTACCGGGAAATCAGGAATAACTTTTTTCTTGAGGTCGATTAACCGTTCGTCAGTTTTAAAGATTTGGATCACTTAACTGAAAAACAACGATTTTTTGTTTTTCAATGTGGTTAATTGGTCATGATTTTTTGTGCCCACCCCTACCGGGGGGAGAGAGAGAAGTCGTTTACCATGGTGCAAGGTATAATTTCTTGTTTTTATTTTTTCAAACTTGGCGTTTTCATACTGCACATATATTTTTGTTGAAGTATAATATACATGATAAATAATATTGAGAAAAAAGTTGTTCATGATGTGTTCTTTAAAACTACTTTTTCCAAAGGGGTGGTTGCGAGTGGGATACTATGTTATGAGACATATGACCACTATTGTTTTTGTTGATATTATTGATTCATGGATAAAAGTGATAAGTTTTAGATTATGTTTGATTGTTTTTTCACATATACTTTTCATTTTTATTGGTATTGAGTTGTTTCTTTTACTTCAGTTTTTTGTACTTCTTCATTACTTTCATTATTTAACTTGTAGGCGTCCAATGTTCAAGATTCATTCACTCCACAGGAAATCAACTAGATACGGGAAAGTCGGGCGTCATTTTTATGTGAAGCTACAAACATTTGATGTGAACTTTATATGATGTTAGTATTAGTAGTAGTATGCGCTGTGAACTCATAACTAGTTTCTTTACTATTTTTTTTTGGAATAACACTATATTGATATGAAATTTATATTTTAGTTAGTTATGATCAATGATAGTCCTAAGGACCAGGGCTAAGATCCGAGTGAGAGAGCCAAAAAGCACAAGTATGAATTGAGTACAAAATTTGGCACACTACGTAACAGTACGCTAAAACTCATAAATCGAATCTCTTTCCACAAGTTGGAAGGTGACTATTTACACTAAAATATTTAATACTTGATGAACAAGTAAAATAGATAGTCTAATGAGATTGTGCCACACGCAAGAGCTAATTGGCGAGAGAATCCTTGATTGATTGATTACTATTGATTGTACGGATGATTGTCATTTGCTAACAGAATGCCTAGATAAGCTACACGTGTACAATGACTGTTGACTGCTATAAAGACTGGGCGACGTCAGCCTTGAACTTGAATGTGTGTACTCAAATGTCTAAGTCCACACGTTTATGTAGAGCATTGAGCTTGGCCATGATTGAGCTCAGCTCAGATGATATTCCGCTTGGGAGTGACGATGTCTGGCTCGGATATAAAGACCTCAGCCTGAGCAGTTTTTTCCGATGTTTAGCCTAGTTGCAATGATAAATAGCTCCAGTGAACTGAGCTCTATCTTCGTAGTTGGTTTGTGCAGCTCGACCGAGCCTGGCTCGCCTGCAATTTTCGACTTATCTCGGGGATATGAGAACCGGGTTCAAGATCGGCCTCGGCCGGTTGCCAATGCTTTAGCCGATTGACAACATTCTCCCACATTAAGCTGGTACCCTTGGGGTATGTGGCAAAATACTCCACCAATTAATGATATATGTTTGATGTAATGAGCATTGATATTTTGTTGGTACTTGGAAACAACCTGGTATACAAAGGATCTTCAAATTAAATAGGGTTTATGTGCCGGAAATCATTTCTTATGGGTTTGATTAATCTCATGTAGAAGACATACAATTTCATAAATATATACCTAACATTGAATGTTTAATTTGTGTGATGGTTAGACGAACTCATATGAAAGGTACCCGAGTTTTAGTATATGCTGCTACAATCTCAGTTCTGAAACAACATTGAATGTCCGTTTTAACCGATATTAAATCCCTCTATTCCACTGGTGATATTAAGATTCATAAATTAACTGTTTTAGAAAGAAACTGATGAACTTCTCAAAATAAGAAAAAGAAAGTTGGCAAAATGTGCTGGTTTACAAAGAGAATGCATGTAGTAGAATTTGGTGAGAAAGTAGTTTGAAAACTATGCTATTTATATTATGCTATGCTATTTTTATTAATATTATGCTATTTATATTGACTACATTTTATTCCATGTATGGTATGGTGAGAATGTAGTTTGAAAACAAAAGAAAAGGATGGAAACCAATGAAGATAATATTGTAGAAGGAGAAGGAGAAGGAGGGAAGAAGGAGAAGGAGAAGGAGGAGGAGGAGGAGGAGATAGATGACCTTCAAATTTACTCTTCTTTCCATTTTATATTAAATCGTATGTAATAATGTACGTAGTATTACTCTATACATCAAATCTACACACTTTTCTTAATTACTTGACGGCACTAAAGTCGTATGTGCCTCAAATTATATTCAATACTAACACATATATGTTGTATAACGTAGTAGAATTCGTATCCACAGGGAAATGAATACTTTTATGTTATGAAACTAGTAATTTAAAGGGGGGGTTTGAGATTGTTTGATTTTAATTAATTAAACACTAAGATGAACGATTTATATGATTTTAATTAATGAGACAAAAGACTTGACTTTGATACTTTCCACTTGTTGATATGTTTGTTGATCCCGGTTATGTCTGTTACTCAATCGAGGAGTATCTCCAATTCATCAAGGGTAGTTACTAATAATGACGGTTCATTAATAAGTCTTACTATTAGCCAAATATAGAACACCGCCATATACCGACTTGATAGTAGCAATTAATCTCTTAACTCCTTGATGAAACCACTTGAGATTGATAACATCAACACAACGGTTTCGGTTTAACCGTCACAATTAATCACTCTTAAGATTATTAACCACGACCGTGCATTAATAACCCAAAGTTACTTATTTGTGAAACCATCAACGATTAACCATCGGTTCATTGATTGTTTCTAACAGTAACTAATGTCAAGATGTTAACTAATTGTCTTCTTAGAAATACTCCTCAACATTAATATAGAGATAAAATAAGGGAAGAGTTGATATTTAGTGGAAGAAGTAAGAAAATAACTTACAACTTTAACATTCAACAAGCTTCAAGAGCAACCCCAAGAAATGAAAGTTTAGCTCCTCATTTGGAGACTAATGTTAGAAAAATATAAAGAAAATACAATTCTAAATTGAGCTTAAGTATATGGAAGAAGGAATGATAAACAATGAAGGAAAAGTGTGTTATTGAAAACCGCTTTCGCGGCGTTGTAGTAAAACGGAGTTTAATCCTTCCGGATGGAAAAAATTATCCCCGAGTATCGTGTCTCTGAGGAGTGGCGGAGGGAAGTGTTGGTTTCAATATCGGTCACCGGTTAGTACGAGTCGTTGCAAGCTTTCTCAAACGATTAATTGTGGTAATGATTAAGCAAATAAAATGAAACAACAAAAGTAGTAACTGAGAATTTAATTAAATTACACTAATGAGCAAACTAAAACTAGTGAACATGCAAAATAACTTGAGAAATAAAATTAACTAACTAAAATATTAAACTAGCAAACATGTGGATGAGTAAAGTTTCGAAAATAAATTACTAAAGGGTGAATTCAATGTGACTAGTGAAAATAAAATAACTAATTAAAAGTGGGGTTTAGATTGGGAATTAAGGATCTTGGGTGTGTTTGATTATAAATAAATTTGGGTATTTTCTCCAATCTAAGAATAGTGACATTTTATTCTCATAGACAAGAATTTAATTTTTAATTCCCTAACATGTCCTATTTCTAGGCTTAGTTTAGGGTGTGTGAGATGTGAGCTAAATTAATTCTAAACTCATAGACAAGCAAGAATTAATTTTCTAAAAAAATTAACAAGTGAAGTGATCAATTCCACAAATTACTCTTTCAATTTCATCTCAAACAACTAGTCCTAAAATTGGAGAAAATTCCTAAATTCAATTCAATGTTCAAGAACACCCATTAACCTTAACTTCATCCAAATCCAAACCCCATGGAAATTTAGCCTAATAACATCCTTATCAAGAAACTAACACCGTTAATGGAGGAGCAAAAGTATAGATGGAAACATACCATTCAAATACATATTCATTCAACATAATAACAGTTCAAAAATCAACTTAAGAGTAGTTCGAAATTATGAATAATTAATAATCCAGGAACCAAATTTAAAGCTTATTCAAACATAAAATTATAGACAAAACCTTAAAATACTCCCTCCGTCCCTTATAACTTTGCCAACTTTCCTTTTTTGGTTGTCCCAAAAACTTTGCCACTTTCCCTTTTAATCAATCAATTTGTGGCTCATGTTATTTCTCTCTCCTCTACACAAATCTATACCACACAATTTTTACTTTATTATTCTACGTGCCGGTCAAACTTGGCAATCCTTTTAGGGACGGAGGGAGTAGCAATAGATGAACATGGAGTAGCTTGATACAATGTAATTGTTCAGCTGCGTTTTCTGCTTTGTTCCGCCGTGAATGATCTCTTCCAAACCGGCTGACTGATTGCTTTCCTACGGCCTGCCATTGCTCCCAGTAGATGACCTGCCCTTTTTTTCTCTCGTTCTTGCTGCTAAGTGCAGCTTTCTTCCGACCCAGAGCTACTTGCCGCTTAATGATTGCGGGTGTGAATTGTTCTGCGGCAGAATTGTTGTGTGGCCGGTTGCTCTCCCTGATTTTATCTCCTTTTTCTTCGGTTGAGACTGATGGATCAACCTGTCCCTTCTTGTTTGGCCGCCCATGTGAGCCGCAGCTGCCTGCTAACTTTCCTCTTCTTGTTTTTGTTGGCCGACTACTCCATCTTATCTCATTTGTTTATTTTGTTCTTTTTCCTTCTCTTTATTTTGTTTTGTTTTCTTTGTTACGCAGCTTGGCTGCTTTTGTGATTTTTTTTTGTGTGTTTTTTTCTTTCTTTTGTTTATTCTGATTTTGAAATGCAGCTACACTGCTTGTTTTTTTTATTTCCTTTTCCTGATTTGTTTTTGCTTTATTTGATTATTGTATTAAAATAACATTGAAATATAATATAATACTAAAATTTGACAAATCACAAAATACAGATAACACAAATAAGAACAAAAAAACAAAAACTCAATCCAAACACTTGAAATACACGCAAATCACTCAAAAATGTAAACTTCAACACTAATTTCAAACATTAACAAAAATGCAACAAAAACGCAAAAACATGTATCAATTTGCCCCGAGTTTAACAAGAAACGCTATAAAAAGTGAGTAAAAATATATGAACAAATCAGACTTATCAATCTCCTCACACTTAAGCGTTGCTTGCCCTCAAGCAACAAAACTACTCTCAAGCACATTTTCAAAGGCAAACTGTTTATAGTGCACAACTCAAGGACTCAAGATCACTTAGATTCAACCATTAATAGACTAAGATTCCAATCTATCTAACATTATTTCCATGAAAGTACATTAATAACTAAACTTTTATGACACAACATACTAATAAAAAAAATCCTTTAATGCTAGCATATATGCAAAAACTGCTACTAATTAGTTATGAGCACAAGTCAACATTCACATTCAAAAGCCCTCGGTCATCCTTAATTAGTCATGAAATACACACAAGCTCCAGTTCTAAAAACAGTTTTAGCTCCCCTAGCATTTTTTTTGTTCTGTTTTTTTTTTTTTGAATGAATTTGGGGGAGCTATAAACCAAGCCAAGTTGGTATGAATTTTATGGTTAAACTAAATCATTGATTTGTGGGGCTATCTCATAAAATATATAAAATATACTCAACTCTCGCAGAATACGATAATGAGAAGAGCAGCGCCCCTTCTCGGAGATGAGACTCCCAACGAAGACACTTCTCAAATCAATAATCAAGTACAACCAGAATAGCGAGAGATATTCTATCAAATGCTAAAAGCAGAGCCTCATTCGAGGATAGAATTCCCCCTAATCCAAAGAATTTAAATTTTAAGCTAACCAAGGAGCATTATATATATCCATGAAAAGAAAGTAAGACCGAACAACCATTCAAACCAAAAATCCAAACTTGTGCACACAACTTTAAAGTAGAAATCAAGCATATCTCCTAATATTTAAAGATTTTTTTTAAAGTATAATGGTAATAAAAAGAATAGTTATAACAAAACTTTCAAAAAAAAATAGTTAAAGTAGATTACACCTTAGCTTATTTATCGATCTTAACTTAGTTCACCTGAGCCTCTTGTCATGCACACTAGTTCAATCCATTGCCCTGTTCCAAACCCTCCTCACACTTGAGAATAGACCTCGTCCTCGAGGTCTCAAGATAAAATCAAAATAAAACAGGGCAAATCTGCATTTTTTTCAAACATACCCTCCTCACACTTAAGATGAATCACATATAAACACACAGGGAGGGAAATAATTAACAGAGAAAAGAAGTACTCCCCTTGTGCTCAATATTAAAGAAGATGAAAGAGCAAGCACAAATCAAATTTTAATCCAATCGGGGAACTCCTGTAGTTAACCTGAAAAAGCTAAATAAAATAAAATATGAATTAAAACTAACACACAAACAAGAAAAAAATACTTTTTTTGGTTTTTCATTGCATTTTTTTTTAATTAATTTTTTTTTTTTTTTTTTTTTTTGCAGATTTTTTAAACCTCCTTTTTAAACACTTGGGTTGCCTCCCAAAAGCGCTTCTTTAACGTCACTAGCTTGACGTTTTTTTTTTCACTTTTTCCTTGACTTTCCAACTCTCGGATCATACAGCTTGACCCTCGGGACTCTTCTTGTGTACCACCTCTGTTTCATAAAAAACTCACAAGCAAGAACAAAGGCCTGTGCATCTTTCTCATTTTCAGGTGGTAAAATAAAATAAGGAAAGTCATCCTCATTCTCCAGATACCCTTCAATCTGGACTGTTTTGAGCATTGTACTAGTATCAAGTACATCCAGGAGCAAGTCAAGGACCTCCTCCACACTTTCTTCTTCCACATTTTGTGCAAAATTTTCTTGGTCAACTTGCACATCCAAAGTCTCCAAAAGTAGATCCAGAAGCTCCTCAATTTCATTGCTCTTCTCAGGGGTTTTCTCCTTAAATTTTTTGCACGGTGAACCCACAAGTATTTCAAATTCCCCCTCTCGGTGAGATGCCTTATCAAACTCACTTTCGTACAAAATGCCTCCCACGTCAACTTTTTCAGAAATTGGCTCAAAGAATTCTTCACTCTCACTTTCATCATCTTCATCAAATCCCTCATTTTGAAGCCCCACTAAGTTTTGCTTTTCAGTGGACGTCCATCTCTCGTCTATGGATTCTTCATCAATTTTGGGTGCTTCAGTACTAGCATCCACCCAACCTTCCTGAACTTCCATGAAATGACTCAGCTTATTTACCTGGCTCGATTGTGATTTGAGATTCTTCACTTGAGTTGCCAGGTTGTCAATTATTGTTGTGAGGGCTGAGATTTGATCGGTGCCTTGAAGTGTAGTCTCGAAAGAAGATTCTGTCTCATAGTACCAGTTCTTAGCATTTGAGACCACATTCTCCATGAGTGTTTCACTCTCTGTCGGTGTCATGTCGAGAAAAGAACCCATCTTTGAATAATGGTCCAACTCTCTTTTACTTACAACTTGAAGTCCATAGTAGAAATAGAACATCAAGTCATAAGCATCCATCAATTGTTTAGGACACTTTCTCTGTAGGCCTTTGTATCGATCCCAAGCCTCACTTATTGTTTCCATTGGAGCTTGTCTGAAATTTTGAATCAAGGTTCTGATGTGTGCAACTGCCGATGGAGGAAAATACTCGTGCATGAACGCCAGATGAAGAGCATTCCAGGTGGTGAAGTGACCGGGTGGAAAAGAATTTAACCACCGAACAGCCTTATCCCGAAGAGAGAATGGGAATAAGATAAGTTTCACGATGTCAATTGACACTTCATTGATCCGGAATGTGTTACAGACTCTGTTAAACCACAACATATGCAATATCGGATCTTCATGTTTCAAACCGCCAAATTGATTAATTGATATCACTTGAATGATATCAGGATTAATCTCAAAATCAGTGGCATCGATTGGCGGAATAATGATGCTATCATCCTCAGAAAAGTCCAAGGTTAAAGCATCAAGCACTGTTTGCCTCTCCCTCATCCTGGTGATTTTTTTTTCAAACCCTCTCAATAATGTTCTTTCAGGCAGAGAGCAAATGATAGCAACTTGCCATGTTTGAAAGAGAGAGATTTTACAAATTGATCCTGCAAACTTGAGAAAACAACACAAAAAAAAAACAGAAAATAAAGGAGAAAGTCTCACTAACTCGGGTTCGCCTATGCCAATAATAAAAACCAACTTACAACCGTGCCACTCCCCGGCAACGGCGCCATTTGAAAACCGCTTTCGCGGCGTTGTAGTAAAACGGAGTTTAATCCTTCCGAATGGAAAAATTTATCCCCGAGTATCGTGTCTCTGAGGAGTGGCGGAGGGAAGTGTTGGTTTCAATATCGGTCACCGGTTAGTACGAGTCGTTGCAAGCTTTCTCAAACGATTAATTGTGGTAATGATTAAGCAAATAAAATGAAACAACAAAAGTAGTAACTGAGAATTTAATTAAATTACACTAATGAGCAAACTAAAACTAGTGAACATGCAAAATAACTTGAGAAATAAAATTAACTAACTAAAATATTAAACTAGCAAACATGTGGATGAGTAAAGTTTCGAAAATAAATTACTAAAGGGTGAATTCAATGTGACTAGTGAAAATAAAATAACTAATTAAAAGTGGGGTTTAGATTGGGAATTAAGGATCTTGGGTGTGTTTGATTATAAATAAATTTGGGTATTTTCTCCAATCTAAGAATAGTGACATTTTATTCTCATAGACAAGAATTTAATTTTTAATTCCCTAACATGTCCTATTTCTAGGCTTAGTTTAGGGTGTGTGAGATGTGAGCTAAATTAATTCTAAACTCATAGACAAGCAAGAATTAATTTTCTAAAAAAATTAACAAGTGAAGTGATCAATTCCACAAATTACTCTTTCAATTTCATCTCAAACAACTAGTCCTAAAATTGGAGAAAATTCCTAAATTCAATTCAATGTTCAAGAACACCCATTAACCTTAACTTCATCCAAATCCAAACCCCATGGAAATTTAGCCTAATAACATCCTTATCAAGAAACTAATACCGTTAATGGAGGAGCAAAAGTATAGATGGAAACATACCATTCAAATACATATTCATTCAACATAATAACAGTTCAAAAATCAACTTAAGAGTAGTTCGAAATTATGAATAATTAATAATCCAGGAACCAAATTTAAAGCTTATTCAAACATAAAATTATAGACAAAACCTTAAAATAGCAATAGATGAACATGGAGTAGCTTGATACAATGTAATTGTTCAGCTGCGTTTTCTGCTTTGTTCCGCCGTGAATGATCTCTTCCAAACCGGCTGACTGATTGCTTTCCTACGGCCTGCCATTGCTCCCAGTAGATGACCTGCCCTTTTTTTCTCTCGTTCTTGCTGCTAAGTGCAGCTTTCTTCCGACCCAGAGCTACTTGCCGCTTAATGATTGCGGGTGTGAATTGTTCTGCGGCAGAATTGTTGTGTGGCCGGTTGCTCTCCCTGATTTTATCTCCTTTTTCTTCGGTTGAGACTGATGGATCAACCTGTCCCTTCTTGTTTGGCCGCCCATGTGAGCCGCAGCTGCCTGCTAACTTTCCTCTTCTTGTTTTTGTTGGCCGACTACTCCATCTTATCTCATTTGTTTATTTTGTTCTTTTTCCTTCTCTTTATTTTGTTTTGTTTTCTTTGTTACGCAGCTTGGCTGCTTTTGTGATTTTTTTTTTGTGTTTTTTTCTTTCTTTTGTTTATTCTGATTTTGAAATGCAGCTACACTGCTTGTTTTTTTTATTTCCTTTTCCTGATTTGTTTTTGCTTTATTTGATTATTGTATTAAAATAACATTGAAATATAATATAATACTAAAATTTGACAAATCACAAAATACAGATAACACAAATAAGAACAAAAAAAACAAAAACTCAATCCAAACACTTGAAATACACGCAAATCACTCAAAAATGTAAACTTCAACACTAATTTCAAACATTAACAAAAATGCAACAAAAACGCAAAAACATGTATCAATTTGCCCCGAGTTTAACAAGAAACGCTATAAAAAGTGAGTAAAAATATATGAACAAATCAGACTTATCAGTTATTTATAGGTGTTTTCAACACCTTGGACCGGGTACCCGACCTGATATAGGTCATACCCGACCGGTTATCAGTCAAAATTGGATCAATCTTCCACATTCTTGTGTTTTCAGCACATTTGTTTGTCCGGGTCAAATCATACTCAACCGGGTAAGGGTCATACCCGACCGGGTATGAGTTAAATTTATTGGCAGCTTCGTTTTTCACATCTTACCCGACCGGGTAAAGGTATATACCCGATCGGGTAGAAGTCCTGGACAGTTCCTTTGAGCACTAAGTTGCTCCTTTGTACACAATCAAGCCTAGCACTTCTCACAACTTACAAATACATGCCAAAATACAATTACAATCAAAATTAAACTAATGGCTACAAACTATAACAACAGTAAAATAAACATCACAATAAATATAAAAACGTAAACTTATGTACTAATAATTGGTGCATATCATTACTTAATGTTATGTACGACATCACTCACACAAGTACACGTATTTATAATTATTTTTAACTTAACACATAAGAGTATATAGTTACACATTTTTCACGCGTGTTTGCACAATATATAATGTATTTACGCCAAACACAACATCATTTTCATTAAGTCTTATATTAACTATAGTGTGCGTGGATATACAATAATAGCAATGATACCATTTATATGGGAATATTGTGTGATGTTTGCACAATAAAGGCTAAATACCCCATACTAACAGTGAAGTAGCACCGTGATGGAAGGGTGAAAAGAACCTCTAGTGGGTGTTTTGTGTTCTTTTATTTATTACTTCTTAGCTAGATAAAAGAGAAAGTAAATTTAAAGATTCAAATTAATTTCTTTGATCTTTGTTTTCGTTGTTTAATCTTCATTTGATTCATTAATTTAGAATGTTTTGAATCCTCAATTGCTATCCTCTTGTCGAGCAGACAATTCCCCACTGAAAAAAATGCTCTAACTACTTCATATCTTTGTAGAGGCAAATTTAAGTCTCATATTTTCTCCCAATTTAGAGGGTTCAAAGAGCATTGGGTAGTATGATGTAGTGATAAACTATGTAGGATGAGTTACAAGGTACGTTTATTACTTGATTATATGTGAGCGACTGAGCGACCAGGGGAGCTTGTGGTCTAATGGCATCAGTGCTGGTCTCCAAAGATGATGTCGCAGGTTCAAGTTTCATCCCAATCAAGGATATTAACATTAACAAGAACATATACTATAATAGGTCTAGAAGAGCATTCCAAAAAAAATAGGAGAGGACCATTTCTGCTTTCTTTGATGCTCCACCTAAGAAATGGTTAAGAAATCAATGGAGAAGACTGAAAAAGCGAGGGATATAACTATCCTCAAACTTCAATGCTACTTACAAAATAACCAATAATAATCACTTGAAAGCGTTGATATTCAAGTTAAAACCTAGTTTTGAAAATACAAGTTTTAGATTTTGAAACCAAATAAGCTAAAAAGTGCTTTCAAAAAGCAAATGCAAACATAGCCTTATTCTTGAGTCCATTTTTGCCCAACCCCTCTAAAGAGGGTGAACATCACCCCCTTACTTCAATGTTTGTCATGTGACACGTCTATTCTTTTTTTCTTTAAATTGTTAAAATGTTTTTATTTATGGTAGGTACATTTTCATAAAAAAATATCAGATTTAATAACTTTATGATCTTTTCCAACAGTATCAATCTTACACATTTTTTATTTATCTAGATATCTAGTTTTAGCTGGATTGTTTTTTAAAAAATCACATATGCAATATTAATATCATATGAAAGAGCATAGAAATTTAAAAGAAATGATCAATATGAAAGAGCAATATTAATATTAAAAATGTATATTTGTTTTAAAATTGAATTAAAAATAAAAAAGTTTAAACAATTGCCAAATATTAAAGAGTTGACACGCCACATGACAGATGACAGGCAACTAGGGAGGGGTGAACATCACCCTCTTAGACCATTTGTGTGGTAGGAATTAAGAGTCCAAAACGGTAAATTTAAAGATTTTAGACTTCTAAATCAGTGTAGCGGGGATTTAAAGGGGATTAAAAGTAGTGTGAAAGGGGGATTGATAATCCAATACATTTCTTGTCTCTCAGCTGCCCCAATTAATTTTAAGCAGAAAAGGAAATTTGGCGCAATCTCAGTTTCCTCAAGATTCTACAGATCAGGCAACTTCATCAAAATTGCTAAAGATTATGGGAGCTCAATCCATATTCCCATGGGCCCAAAGAATTCAGACTTGATTAAATTCCTATCTCTATTTCCTAATTTTGTGGGGTTCCCTAATTTATTGCAGGAGGACCCGACCTCAATTCTGACATAAAGTACCACGACATCTGAGGAACACACACACACACACACACACACACACACACACACACACACACACACACACACTATATATATATTTCAAAACAGCTATTCCATCTAGACATTCGGGCATCATGCGTCGATAATCAATGGAATCTTTCAACAAATCTTTCAACAGGGAAGAAACTTATGATTCTAAATCAGGCGTACTCAGACGCCTCTGATAGCTTTGCCCTTTGATGACTCGTTCTTTTCAGATGACTTTATGGGTCAGGCCACGAAAAGCGATCGTCGACCCCCTATCTCAAATCAGGAAGATATTCGGGACTCCAAGTTCAACAGATCCATTTCCTACAAAACCAAATTCATTACTCCCTCCGTCCCTGAATTTATTTCCATAGTACAATTGGCACATGGATTAAGAAAGTGGGAAATGTGTGGTGGAGAGTTGTGCAGATGAAAGAGAAATGTGTAAGAATGTGTAAGAATTGCTGTGAACCACAAATTCTTTGTCAAAAAGGGAAAGTGAAGTTCTTTTTGGGACGGACGAAAAGGGAAAGTTGGAAGTAAATTTAGGGGCGGAGGGAGTACTTCGGACAACTACCTGCCAACGGAGAACCTGCATACACAACTAAAAATATATAAGAAATCTCAGAAGAACAAAAGGCGGCACAGTATGAGGACTAGGTCTTAGTCAAAAAACTTCCCATGGGAATAGTTTACTTATTTTATTTTCTCTTATGTATTTTCTCTTCTTTACATTCTGCATTGTACTTCTCTTTTTATCAATAAAATTCACTTTTGTTTAAAAAAAGGGGGAAGGGGGGATTGAGGGTGAATTTAAA